AAGCCACTGGGCATGGCAGCAGCACATATCTTTTAATCCTAGCACTCTTGAGGCAGAGGCAGGAGGATCTCTGTGAGTTCCAGGCCAGCCTGGTCTACATAGTAAGCTCCAGAATAGCCAACGCTACGTAGTGAGAGACTGTCTTACCCACCCCCAACCCCTAAAAAAGCCAAGCACAATAGTATTTGTAGTTTTTTTGTTTCATTTTTAAAATATTTATTCATTTTTGTGTGCACTGGTGTTTTGTTTGCATGTATGGGTGTGTGAGGGTGTTAGATCTCCTGCAAGTGAAGTTACAGTTGTGAGCTGCCATGTGGGTGCTGGGAATTGAACCTGGATCCTCCAGAAGAGCAACCAATGCTCTTAACCGATAAGCCATTTTTCTAGCCCCAAGCATGATAGTATTTGTAATATCTGTATAGGACAGGTAGAAACAGGTGGATCCCTGGGGCTCACTAGCCAATTAGCCAACTGGATGAGTTCTAGGCCAGTTAGACAGCCATCAAAGAAAAAAAAAATAAAAATAAGAGGTGGCCAGCACCCAAGGAACACTTGAGGTTGTTTGACTTCCAAATGTGCATGCATGTGAACACACAATTCAGAAAGTCAAATGTGTGACAGACACCTTAATTAAGTTCCAAGCTAGTACCTACAACTTGCATACAAAGGCTAGAAAGCCAGGGATCCACTTATTCAGGTTCAGCATAGTTACATATGAGCCAATTCTGAGCAATCTCTAGAGGTTAAGAGGGTAGCTCTGTTAAAGTAAGGGTACAGGTAGAACCCTCCTCAGATCCCATTACATCTTACTTCCACATTCTGTTATATGATGACACCAAATTAGTGCCATGGCAGTAATTTTGCAACTCTGAGGACACAAAGACAAATGCCAGCAAGCTGAGCACAGAGAGTAGGAGGTTGCAAAATCGTAATGACATGACTGCGCTGCTGAACTATCTCAGGGGCTTTTAATCTCTGGATTTAAGACATCGTTCCAATTTAAGCTGCTGATTGTCAAGTTCTGTTATTTCACACAGAACAACCAAAACTAAGAGGTAGACCAGGCCAGGTGACCAACAGAAGGGTTTATAATAAAGAGGGATTTAGGTTTACTTCCAAGTTTTTAATTTGAGATACTGAGTAGAGTGTTGGCTATTAAAAGTGGCAGAGGTGGGATTTGGGGCATGGGGTACATAGAGGGAGAGGCACAGAAAGGAGGGACAAAGTCTGCAGCTAGACATGTGCATTCAGACTGTATGGAGCTGGTTAGGTGAGGAGTGTACCTAGTATATGATACATGAGCACATGGACGTCATTTACAAAAGCTAATCAAATCTACAGGTGTATAAAGGAAAGTCAGGTCTTATCATACTTGCTAACTTCATACCCTCTTGGAGAAGTCTGAGGAGCAGGACAAAACAATGCAGTCCAGATAAAAACGCCCTAACCGGGAGAGTTCTAGGGTGTTTCTTTCCTATTTTCTGTTGTTGTTTTGTTTGGATTTTGGTTTTTTTGTTTTTATTTTTGCAGACAGGGTTTCTCTGTCCTGGAATTCACTCTGCAGACCAGGCTGGCCTCGAACTCAGAGATCCACCTGCTTCTGCCTCCAAGAGCTAGGATTAAAGGTGAATGCCACCACCACTCAGTTTCTTTCTTATTTTTTTTAAAGACTCTGAAAATACATAGGCACTATTTTTTTTTTTTTTCCAGAGCTGAGGACTGAACCCAGGGCCTTGTGCTTGCTAGGCAAGCGCTCTACCACTGAGCTAAATCCCCAACCCTGGCACTATTTTTAAAAAGGAAGAAACTTGTTTCTCGTATGGATTGATAAACATAAACACTTGCATATTTAAATTTTTAAGAAATTCATTAGTAGCTAAGATAGCCTGACGTATACAAATTCTGGATCTATGAAAAATAAAGACTATGTTAAAGTAACTATAACAGAGATTTATTCCAGTAACTGCAAGAAATCTAAACTGTTCAACTTTCTATACATACAGGTAAATTAGGAATATATGAACAATCCATTCCCAAGTTTCAGAGAATTACTCCTGGCCATATTTTATTGGTAGTAGGTTGCCCCAAAGTATACAGAGAACTATAATCACCAAAAAGAAAGTAATAATTTAGCACAATCTTTTGAAGACTTTATTAGTCCTCCACAAAAAGGAAGGTAACACAGACAACCATGCTCATTCTTTACATATACATGGTAGGTGTAGAAGAGGAATGATCTACAGCCATCTAATCTAGTGAACAGGAAAAACACAGTCATAGCGGAAGCAGGTGACAAAGAGACACAAGGATACATGACAACTGATCAATGATTCCAACAGGAAAAACTAATGGTTGAGTTTGGACCAGTTGATGTACCAGGCTCATAAACAAAAGCAATTATCATCAAAGGCATCTACAAAGAACAGAAATTATAACCAAAGATAAAAGGAATTTACCCTGGGCATCAAGCAAAAAACATCAAAAAGGAAAACAGATTTCAGAAAATGGGTGGAACAGAGAAAAATGTCTACCTTAATCCCCTTGGCTTTGTCCTAAAGACTGTGATCACATCGTTCCCCTTGAGGTAAACAAGTGTCTTCCCCTGGCTCACAGAGTCCTCACAATCCTTCACTCACTCTACTATCAAGTTATGAGAGAGATTTCAGTTGTTACCTTCCAGGTTAACTGGACCAGTTCAAAGTTCCCAGTCCCGCCTGGGCTTCCCTGTTCTTGTCCTTCTCCACGCTGACTGATCTCTGCCCATGACGACCCTACCAATGCTTCCAGTTCACCCCCTTTTCTCTTTCAGCATTTCCTAATCCTACAACCACAAAACAGTCTCCTTTGGGGCCTCTCCTGCTCTTATTAAAATAATGCTATTCTACTCTAAATTATAACTCTTCTTGTGTCTTCCTTATGATATCTCAAATTCCTTAAAGCAGAGAGGTAAAGATCCTATCTGTGGTTTCTACAGCCAAAATTAAATAAGTAATGGTACGTCTTTGAATTAGTGATATCAGCATTCACAGACCAAAAGCCCTCAAAAGAACTTACAAGGGCAAGTTTCTTAAACGTTTTTATTCAAATGCTTTTCTTCCTCTTGATGAAATAAAGCAATATGTAAGAAATAATTATGGGATTCATTCAATAGAGACAATACTGAATCAAGATTGTCATCTGGAAATTCTAGATCCCTCCTTTAGTCACCTAGGAAGGTCACTTACCCTTTTTTCTGTCTGCTTTTTCTACAACTATCTACTAGAATGACAGGGGAATATATTCTTTCTAAATACTTCATATTTTAACATCATTTAAAACAATCTTCCCCTAAAAAAATGGTCTGAATATCCCTAGCCCTACCAATGCTTCAAAATTAGTAATGATTTTCCCTACTCACAGAACACATACTACATGTCATGTAATGCATTTTCAATTTAATATAAAAAGCAAAACTCTATTTTACAGATTTCTTTGGGGTTCTGAAACCATGGCCACTGGTCACTGCATAATCCTAATTTATTAAAAATATAGATGATATCTCAATATATATTCTCCAGAGTAAAACATATCCAGAGGGATAGTTTATAAGTCTTCATCAATTAAAAACAAAAAACAAAACAAAAAAAACAACCCAAAGTCTGGTGGGCAGGAGGCACTAAACTAATAAAAGGGTAATATTAAGTCTGAAGAAAGGATTCCCATGTAATGCAACGCAAAGAGTTTAAACCCAAAGAATAATTTCTTAACCAGTAGTGCAGGCTGTTAGTCATATGCTCTTCTAGAATCTCTTGTTATTCAACTTTTTCTCTCCTGATTCACTTTTCCTAGTCTGTTAACCCACCTCCTTTCATCTCCAGGCTTACACTGGAACCTACTAGAAGCCTCACTTCTAGTTTCAGGCAGACCATATGCCCTGTCAACGTCAACTCCAATATACGGCATGAGGAATCCCTGTCTATCAACAGTTCCCTGTTCATTTAAAAACTTAAACACAATACGAAGAAAGAGCTTAGAGCTGTAAATCAGAGTCAAGACTCCCTACTGTTGAATTTCTCCTAAGTATTTTTAAGCCAACAGAAATAATGACAGAGAATTTTTCATCTGTCAAGGCACATACAAGAAATTTCAGGCTTTTCAGGCGAAGGTAATAATCCTTTACAAAACAAAACAACAACAACAACAAATAAGTACCCCAAGGCAAGGGCACAAACTTGCATCTCACTGTGGCGGTCATTCTCTACACGGTGCTTCTTCTAAGGGTATTGCAACTGCAAACACAGGGGAACCCGTCTTTGAACCCTAGTCTGTGTCTGCAGTTCTTCAAAGTTAGATGACATAATAAACAAGGCTTCCCTTCCCTCTCTAGTGGTCACGTCATCCACCTGTTGCATCACCTGGAAAATGGTCTTCAGAATCTAGGAAAGGAGCACCTCTGTGATCTCTTAAATAATTCAACGGGGGCTATTTTCTAGATAAATTTTAGCTTCATTCATTTTAATGAGGCTGCCTTGGAGGCGAGGGTGTGTTGGCTCCCGCTCCCCTTTGGGGAGACTCTAGCATCCGCCTCGCAGCTGTGACTTTCTAGACTTGAGGGGCTTGGGAGTTGTTGGAAGACTTGCGCCTTTGGAGACAGGCAAGGGGCCGCAGGAGCGGGGCAGAGACGGGAGCCGGGCAGCTCGGAGGCCAGGTGGCGGCGGGGGGGTCGCACGGGCGACAGAAGCCTCCTCGGAGAGGGAGGGCACGGCTCATCCGCCCAGGGGTCGGGCCCACAGTCGGGGGAGCTGAGGGCTCGGCGGAGGGAGGCTCAAGCCCCAGCCCTCCCGCGGGCTGACTGGGCATCTCCAGGAGGCGCGCCGGCCAGTCTGGAGATTAGAAGACAGCGCGACTGTCCCCTCCCCCCACCCCGGAGAACTAAGCTGGAGGCGGGGACGCCAGGCAGGAAGCAGCGGGCCGGGGTCCCGGGCCGGCGGGCTCGGGCCGCCAGGGGCCGCCGCACTCACCATGTCGTACACGTTGAGCACCACTAACTGGTTAGCCCCCATCCTCCTCCCCGCGGCCGCCGCCTCGTCCTCCAGCCGCTCGGTCTCCGCGGGGCGGAGGCCGCTGCCACCCCCGCGGGCGCTTCGGGCAGGGCACGAGCCGGGCACTAAGCGTCCAGCCCGGCCCGCCGCAGCCGGGGCGGAAGCATCCGGCAGCCGGGGCCGCTCCCGGGAGCCGCGGACAGACGCCTGTGCGAGCACCGGGCCAGACCGGTGGAGAGCCCGCTCCGGCTCAGGCGCCTCCCCTCGGCCGCAGACACGTGGGGGAAGGCGGAGCCTGGGCGCGGGGCGGGCTCCAGGCACCCCGGAGGCGGGGCCCGCCCCGCGCCAGGGCTGAGCCCGCCTGCGCGCTAACTCTCTTAGGCGCCGCACCTCGAGACCTAAAATGGCGGCAGGCTGGGCGCCTCTTCACCCCGAAGGCTCGAGGTCGCAGAAAGACTACAGTTCCCAGAATGCAGTGCGAAACGCCCCGTTTCCTATTGGGCGTACGGGCAGCCTGACTACATCTCCCAGCATGCTCTAGGATTCCCCCCCCCCCCCCGCCCCGCCTCACGTTTCCCTGGGAGACTACAGCTCCCAGCGTGCCGTTTTAAGGATCTGTCCGCGGAACCTTGACGGTTCGTCCTTGGCGAGCGGAGAAGTCGTACACCTTCTATCTTCAGCGCTGTTTCTGGTGCTGGTAGCGTGAGACGTGAATCCAACGGCATGTGAAGAAGTGAAGATTAAGTTTTCCAAAGCCCTTCTTTCTTTATTCTTTTTTCTTTGCAAGTGTAGGAGTGAGGAAATAAAGGAAGTAAGGTTACTGTTGAAAGGTAGGGTGTAACAAACACCCAGCTTACCTTCAGTATGGAATTCACATTTCGTGTGAGTGTCCTGCTCACGTGGGAAGAGTGTAGAAAGGTAGGGTGTAACAAACACCCAGCTCACCTTCAGTGTGGAATTCACATTTCGTGTGAGTGTCCTGCTCACGTGGGAAGAGTGTAGAAAGGTAGGGTGTAACAAACACCCAGCTTACCTTCAGTGTGGAATTCACATTTCGTGTGAGTGTCCTGCTCACGTGGGAAGAATGTAGCAACTCATAGATTAGCTCAGTCCTAGGACACAGAAAGCGTTTGTGCACCCATTCAACAAATATTTTTGTGTGTGTGTTCCTGCCATATGCCATGCAGTGTGGTAGACTGAAGAACGTGAGATCCTGAGTTTCCAGTTTATGCTTGAAATTGGACAGACAGACAGAAAGAAAGTGTGCAGGTGCCCAAGGAAGCCATAAGAAGGCTTTGATGCAGTTGTAAGTTGCTTGACCCAGGTGCTGGGAACCAAACTCAGGTCCTAAGAGCTCCACTAAGCAAATGCTCTTAGTGGGTGATCCATCGCTCCAGACCCCGAGGTTGGATTTTAATTTTTTTAAAATTTTTTTATTTTTTTGTTTTTTTTTTTCGAGACAGGGTTTCTCTATGTAGCTTTGGCACCTTTCCTGGAACTCACTTTGTAGCTCAGGCTGGCCTCGAACTCACAGAGATCCGCCTGACTTGGCCTCCCAAGTGCTGGGATTAAAGGCATGCGCCACCACTGCCCGGAGGTTGGATTTTAAATGAAGACTTGGTAGGGTTTGGGCCAAAGAGTGACAAGAGTGTGTGCATAAGTCTTTTTAAAAGATTGCTTGAATTTCTGTGTGGAATTTTAAGAGGCAAAGAAAATGGAAACATGACGGTTAATATGGTAGACTGTAAAAGTAGCGTCTCAAATTATAAATAACCTTTGATGTTTCTCTCTACTGACTCTAGCAAGCCTTGACTCGCTTTGGTCAGCGAGACATTAACAGATGTAATGCAAGAGAGTTGAAAAGCACTTTGGGTTTGAGGCTTGGCTTCTTCCCGATCTTGGGAGTCTAGCATTATATGAACAAGGTTGGACATTGAATTTGTTGCAGGCACTGTGGGTGGTTTCAAGACCAGGTTCCAGACTTTTGACAGAGATTTGGGTAGATAATATGCTATTTAATAATATATGAAACTTTGGAGCGAGAAGCAGGTTGGGAAGAGGATAATCGAGTTATTGTTAGGTCATGTTATATTTTAAGTGCTTTTTACAGGCACTTGAGAAATTGAGTAGGCATTTGCATAAATGAAATGGAGTCATAACCATTAAACTGACTAAAATAGATATTTAAGGAGAATTTAAAGCCTAGAGACTGGTTGGATAGCCTAGTATTCTACTTAATATTTCCTTTGCTGTGATAACACTGGCCAAAAGCAGCTTAGGAGAAGAAAGGGTTTGTGGGCCACACAGTCCATCACTGAGGGAAGTCAAGGTAAGACAGGAACTTAAAGCAGAAACCTTGGAGGAACACTGCTTGCTGGCTCATTCACAGGCTTATGCTTGTCTAGCTTTTTCACACAGCTGAAGAACCTGCCCAGGGAATAGTACTACACATAGTGGGCAGGGCCCTCTTATATCAATCAATTAAGGCAATCAAGACAATGCCCACAGGCCAATCTGGTCAAGGTAATCCTTTAATTGGGACTCCTTTCCCATATGACTCTAGGCTATGTCAAGTTAAAAGTTGAAGCACTGGGAAGCATAGAAAAAGGTGCAGTTGGAAAGAAGTATTAAATGGGGAGGGGAAATGGGAGGACGGGATAAAGGAGGGAATATCGAGAGGGACAACTAACATTATGGCCTTTTGAAAAGCCATATGGAAATTTACTATTGTAGAAGCTTCCTAAAATATGTACACATGTGAAAGGAATTTAAATAGTCACCATAAAATGAGAGAGAGAATGCCCCAACTAGCTATCTTAAGCCACCAAGTAAAACCTCCAATGCCCCAAATGGGTTACATCTTGTTACATTGTCGGCCAAAAGAGTCCTATGTGGACACCTTCCCCCAACATCACAGTATTGCCAAAGCTATTGGTTACTCTCCATAACCTGACAGTAAGGCCTTATTGCTTAAGGTCCCACTTCTGTCATCAAACGTGGAAAAATGGGTCTGTTGCCCCACCAGAAGCTCCACTCCTACTGACTAGTGTTCATGGTACTGGAGGTATTTTTCATGATACCCGAGGAAAAGATAATCATCAGTATCACCCAGCTGCAAACCCAGTTGCTGCAACAACAACTTGCCTGCAAAATATATGAGGCAATAGTGGCACAAACGTTATAGGAGTATCCAACCTCTTTTTTTCTTTTTTTCATAAATTGGGTTTAAGGCCCACTCTGTGACCTGGAACTCAAACCCAAAACTTCTGAAATGGCTAAGAACCTGCACCTAGATAGGCCATGGGCCCCAGGAAAAACCTACTACTATTACTTTGCAAAGGAACACAGCAGTAAAATGACTCCTAATGACATACTGCTATAGCCACAGATCAGTGTTTCACTCAACCCTCATCAGAGAAGCTGCTCCTCGCAGTAGAGGGGACTTGTACTGACTAGTTTTGTGTGTCCATTTGACACAAGCTAGAATGAATCATCAGAGAGGAAGGAGCCTCATTTGAGGAAATATCACCATGAGATCCAGCTGTAAAGGTATTTCCCAATTAGTGATCAATATGGGAGGGCCCAGCCCATGGTGGGTGGTGCCATCCCAGGGCTGCTGGTCCTAGGTTCTATAAGAAAGCAAGTTGGGCACGCCAGAGGAAAGTAAACCAGTAAGCAGCACCCTTCCATGGCCTCTGCATGAGCTCCTGCCTCCAGGTTCCTGCACTGCTTGAGTTCCTGTTCTGACTTCCTGCAATGATGAACTATGATCTGAAAGTGTAAGCCAAATAAACCCTTTCTTCCCCAACATGCTTTTGGTCATGGTGTTTCATTGCAGCAATAAAAACCCTAACTAAGACAGGAATTTACCCAGAGATCCATAAATGAACAATGTGCAGAGAGTGAGAAATTTTGGAGAACCCAGCCCTAAATTAAATATCTTTATTAAACCATTCCCCTCAAGGCTCAAGGAACTATGCAGAAGAGGAGGGAGAGGGTTGTAAAAGCCAAGGATACAGTATCACCCAGACATATATGAACTCAGACACCATGATAGCACACTACAAGACCTGTAGAAGTTCAGACTAGGTGTAATCCCAGTATGGAGACTAGAAGGCAGACACACAGTCCCACCCGTAGTCAAGAAGGTATTTGCAACTGGTACCTGCTGGGAAGGGGAAATCAGTTTTCTCTAATGCAGTCAGTAGGTATGTCAACCACACTCCAGGGCAGGCCTTTACTCAGAATAGTTGGCCAATACTGAACAGGCTCAATTTTGCCGATCGTGGTGGCACATACCTTTAGTCCCAGGACTTGGGAAGCAGAGGCAGAGGTGGATCTCAGTGAGTTCAAGGCCAGCCTGGTCTACAAAGTGAGATCCCAGACAGCTATGGCTGTTACACAGAGAAACCCTGTCTTGAAAAACCAAAAACCACACAAACCCAACAAACAAACAAAAACAGGTTCATTGTTTTCTTTTTAAAGCATGTGTGCTTTTGCTTCTTTTTTTGTCTCATTGTCTTATTGAGCTTTTGTTTGTTTGCTTGTTTGACTTTTTTGTTTTGTTTATTTTTTTCCTGTGAGAGAGATATGAAGTTGGATGGGTAGGGAAGTGGGGGAGGATCTGGGAAGAGTTTGGGGAGGGAAAGAATATGATCAAAATATACTATATACAAGAGAAAAAAAATTCAATACAAAATAAATTAAAAGCAAAGAAAATAAGGGGCCAAGGTGATGGCTCAGTGTTGTGCAAGCATGGAGACCTGTGGTCAGATCCGCATCACCCATATAACGCCAGTGCTTGGGGGGAGGGGCAGGCAGATCCTATAGTTCTACAGCCAGCTAGTCTAACTGGAAAGAGGAGCTTCTCACACACAGAACTAAAATGAGAGCTCTGGGACCCTGCAGCATCTGACAGTCACACACATGTGGAAGAGGAAACGCAGAAGCAGCAGGGAAATGAGAAAGAACATGATAAGTCAGGAGTCCCAGAGGCAGCCACAGAAGGCGCTTAAAGACCTGTCGGATATGTTGAGGGGGGAAAACTGTAGAGAAGGAAATGGAGACAACTCTAAACTTAAGGCCATGACTGGAGAGGGCCAGTCGTGTTTCATGGAGGGAATTTTAAAGATGAGACATCCTGGGGCATAATTGTGTCTCGAGGGAGATTAATTATGTAGGGAGAGGGGTAGGGATCAAGGACCTAAGTGGAGGGCAGAAGTGACCTTTGTTTGATAGGAGGAACGCTTTATTCAGAATGACAGTCCGGAAGGCAGAGGAGGGCACATGCCTAAGGGCACAGAAGCTCAGGGAGACAGAGGGAGCGGACTGGGAAACTGAGATGTGTGTAGTGCTGACCCTCCTTCCCCTTTCCTTCTTTGTATCCCTTTTCACTCTTCTTTTGGGT